GGAAGGAGAGTTTCACAGAGAATAGGTCATTATTTGAAATGATAGAGAAAAAGTTAGGCAGTAGAATGAAGGGTGAGAAAAGATAACTGAGTTTGGTGATGAGGCTACTGATCTCCATTACAAGAGGTGTCTATGACATGGCATTTCTGCAACAAACCCAGGGGCTGTGTATTTGTCTGTTCAGGCTGCTATAACACAGTGCCATAGAATAAGTGGCTTATAAACAACAGATTTATTTCTCAAGTTGTGGAGGCTAAAAGTTTGAGATCAGCCTGATCAATTGGGTAAGAGTTTTCTTTACAGACTGCTGAATCCTCATTATATCCTCACCTGGAGGAGAGAAGAAAGGAGATGCAAGCTCTCTCATAATTCTTATAAGGGCATCAATCCCACTCATAATAGCTCCACCCTCATTATCTCATCTAACCTAATCACCTCCCAGAGGCCCTTTCAATACCAGTACATTGATAAGCAGTTTCAACATATGACTTTAGAGCGGGCATAAATATTCAGTCCATAACAGACTCAAATCTAAGCTCAGTCATAATAGTATGTTGATACATTACTAAACCCTCTATGTCTCAGTATTCTTATCTGTAAATGGGGATAATAATAACAGTACCTACCTCATAGAGTTGTTATGAATATTAAATAAGTTGTGCTTAAAATAGTACCATGCCACTTTGTGTATCAAAAGACACTATTAACAGAGTGAAAAGGCAACCTATAGGATGGAAGAAAATATTCATCAATCATATATCTGGTACAGAACTAATATACAGAATATAAAGAACTCCTACAACTCACTGAATTAATTAAATGACTTGATTAAATGACTCAATTAAGAAATGGACAAAGAGCTTGAATAGACAATTTTCAAAGAACACATGAATGGCCAATAAGCACATGGAAAGATACTCAACATCACTAAGTCAAAACTACAGTGAGATACCACTTCACACCCATTAAGGTGGCTATCATCGAAAAGAAAAAAATAAACAAGTGTTGATGAGGATGTAGAGAAGTTGGAATCCTTGAACATTGCTAATGGGAATGTAACATGAGAGCTGCCATAGAAAGTGGAATGATGAATACTCAAAAAATTAAAAATAGAATTACTCTATGATCTAGCAATTCCACTTCTGGTTATTTACCCAAAAGAAGTAAAAGCAATAACTTGAACATATATTTTTACACCCATGTTCATAGCAGCATTGTTTATAATAGACAAAAAGTAGAAGTGTCCATCGATAAACAAAATGTGGTATGTGCATACAATGAAATATTATTCAGTCTTAAAAAAGAAGGAAATTCTGACACATGATGTAACATGGATAAACCTTGAAATCATTATGCTAAATGAAATAAGCCAGACACAAAAGAACAAATATTGTATGATTCCTCTTATGTAAGGTGCCTAGATTGGTCAAATTCATAGAGACAGAAAATAGATTAATGGTTGCCAGGGACTGGGTTTGGTGGTGGGTGAATGGGGGAGATGGGGAATTATCACTTATTGAGTATAGAGTTTCAGTTGGAGAGATGAAAAAGTTATGGAGATGGATGTGGTGATGGTTGCAGAGCAATATGAATGTATTTAAGGTCACAGAGCTGTACATTTTAAAGTGATTAAAATGATTTATTTCATGGTATATATATTTTACCACAATAAAAAATATTCTGAACTAAAAAGCAGGACAGTCATGTAAATGTTACTATTATCTCCTGTAAGGTAGATTACAGAGGGTGTAAGGAATAAATGGAAGATAAGGAAATGAAAAAACTGAGTGATATATACCACTCAGCAAAGTGTTTTGGGAAAGAATATAGGATAATACTAGTAAATGTGAAAAGGCAGGGGGGATGAAGAATCTCTGTTCTTTTTTTTAAAATATATTTTTAATTGGTTTCAGAAAGGAAGGGATAAGGAGAGAGAGATAAATATCAATGATGACAGAGGATCATTGATTGGCTGCCTCCTGCATGCCCCTTACTGGGAATTGAGCCTGCAACCTGGGCATGTGGCCTTGACTGGAATTGAACCTGGGACCCTTTAGTTTGCAGGCTGACACTCTATCCACTGAGCCAAACAGGCTAGGGCTAATTATAGATAGGATAGGGTTTGTTCACAGATGGGTGAGAGGGGCCAGTTACGAAGGAAAACTTAGGCCTTGAAAGATAGGGATGGATAGATGAAATTAGATTTCAAAGACTGGAATGAGAGGTGATGGGGAGGGACTTGGTAAAAGGGAAGAGGAGTTTGGTTATAGAGATATATTAGGCTTTTATAGTGTACTAGAGGCCTGGTGCACAAAAATTTTGTGCACTTGGGGGGTCACTCAGCTCGGCTGTACCCTCTCGCAGTCTGGGACCCCTCAGGGGATGACCACCTGCTAGCTTAGGCCCGATCCCAGGGGGTTTGTGCGCTGCCCCCTGTCACATGCTGATCCCGGTGCCGGGAGGCCAGGGGGATCGGGCCTAAGCTGGCAGTCATACATCCCTCTGGCAGCCCGGGAGCACTCGGGGGATGTTCACTTGCCAGTGGGGAGCAGGCCTAAGTGCAGTCGGACATCCTTAGTGCTGCTGAGGAGGCTGGAGAGGCTCCTACCATCACCGCTGTGCTGGCAGCTGGCAGCCGCAGAGCTCCCAATGTGGGAGCGCACTGACCACCAGGGAGCAGCTCCTGCATTGAGCGTCTGCCCCCTGGTGGTCAGTGCTTGTCATAGTGACCAGTTATTCCCAGTAGTTCTGCTATTAGGGTTGGTTTGCATATTATCCTTTTATTATATAGGACTAGAGGCCCAGTGCACAAAAATTTGTGCACTCGGGAGGGAGGGGGGCCCTCAGCACGGCCTGCGCCCTCTCGCAGTCTGGGACCCCTCGGGAGATAATGACCTGCTGGCTTAGGCCTGCTCCCGGGTGGCAGAGGGCAGGCCCAATCCCTAGGTGCAACCCCTGGTCGGGTTCAGAGCAGGGCCGATTGGGGAGTTGGAGTGCCGCCCCCTGTCATGCACAGAGCAGTGCGGATCAGGAGGTTGCAATGCCACCCTCAGTCACGCTCAGGGTAGGGCCGATGGGGGGGTTGGGGCACCGCCCCCGTCACACTCAAGGCAGGGTCAATGGGGAGGTTGCGGTGCCACCCCCTGTCACGCACAGAGCAGGGCCAATCAGAGTGTTGGGGCGCTGCCCCCTGTCACATGCTGATCCCGGTGCCGGGAGGCCTCGTGGCTCCACTGATCCCGGTGCTGGGAGGCATAATAGCCTTTTACTATATAGGATAGAGGTGACTGAAGCTCCCAACTGCTCTTTTTTTTCTTTTTTCTTTTTTTTTTATTCTGGGCCAGCTTTAGCTCTGACTCCAGCTCTGAGGCCTCTACTGCTGAAAGCAGGTATCTGGTTTGTTTGAGTTCTATAATCGAAACAATGTATAACTCCAGCTCTGAGATCCCAGCCAGCTGAAAGCAGGTTTCTGGCATTTTGTTTAGCTTCTATATTTGTTACAATGTTTCAAACTGCAAGCTCAGAGGCCAGCAAAGCAGGTGGGGGACGTTGGAGACCTCCATCACTGAAGCAAGCAAGCCTCATGTTAGCTTGAAGCTGCCTGGCTGCTGGCCGCCATCTTGGCTGGCACTTAATTTGCATATCCCCCTGATTAGCCAATGGGAAGGGTAGCGGTCATACGCTAATTACCATGTTTCTCTTTTATTAGATAGAATTACCTTTTAAAGAATCTGAACAATTGCTTTTTGAAACTTCCAATTCTTGTCCCTTTCATGGGGAGCAATTATTAAAATACACTTAAAACAAAACAAAACAAAAAAACCCAAACCTTATTTAACCCATCTGTCCTTTTCTAAAAGAGAGAAGACACAAACTTAGTTTCACTCTGAGGCAATATTGGACCGAGGAATTTTTTTTTTCTTCTATTAGGTGGCATTCTCACAGTCTTAACTGCAATAAATTTGGATCATGACTTGCCCAATTTGGAGAATAATTCTGTTGATTTATTTAAGGTTCGGCAGGTGGCTTCCTTAATACTGGCTTTGGGAATAACTGGAGTAGATTTTACTGATTAATTGCATCTAAATGAATAGCATTAAAGGTTCTAATATTCCAAGATCAAATATATTCCATATCATATGCAAATTCATGCTTAGATTTAGAAATACTCCTGGCCAAATCCAGAAATGTAACTACTCCCCAACGTTGAGCCTTTGACAGGGTTATTCTGAAACTAAATCTGAAAAATTAAGTTAACCAAATGGGGAAAAGAAAGGAAAGCTCCCGGGCTTTAATTGTTTGTGTACTATCATCGTTTTGCTAAGAGAGCTTTAATTGGAGAGTTAAGATAGCTTCACCTTCTTAGTCAACTCAAGCAAAATAAGTACAGTGCTGCCTTTCAGTAGCTTCACAGTGTTATGTTTACTGAACTGTGCAGTCAAGGTTAAATTCTCCAATTAATTTTCAGAACCCTTCACAGTGGTTGGGAAATGGTAAAACAGTGTTAAGCTCTCTATGTTTCGATAAGGGGTCATTATGTGTCCAAATGTTAATTCGGGTAAAACAAATTTTCTTGATAAATTCACAATTAAAAAAATCTCTTTACATTGATGTGCTGAAAAGTTAATTTCCACAAAATGTATCATGCCACGCTTCTTTCATTTAGGAGGGTGACACATTCTTTATTCTCACTCTACATTCCTAGGATTAAGATCCTGGATGATGCTGCCGGACTTAAAGTCTGAAGTAGGTATGAAAAGAAACTCAGATTTTCAGATAAGATTAGTAATTAGACTTATATTTTCTTTATATAATATCTTTATATAATATTGTAATAATTTATATAAAAGATCCTAAAGGTATTAGATCAGAATCGCTGGAACTTTTCCTTTATCTTATTTGGAAGAAGGTCTTTGTGTCATTACGTTAACATTTTTGAGATGGGAAGATTATCCTAGATTATCTGTTTGATCTGTAAATGCCATCACATAGCTTTACAGAAGACATGCAGATGGGAAATACACAGAGGAGAAGGACATGAAAACAGAGGCAGATTGGAGTGAAGGGGCCACAAGCCAAAGAATGCCTGCAACCACCAGAAACTGGTAGAAGCAAGAATTTCCCTCCTGGAGCCTCCAGAGGGAATGCTGCCCCACTGACACCTGGTTTTAGCCCAGTGATGTTGGTTTTGGATCTCTGCCCTCCACAACTCTAAGAAAATAAATTTATGTTGTCTTAAGCCACCTAGTTGTGGTAATTTGTTGTAGCAGGCACAGGAATCTAAAACAAATCTACACTGACAAGTTATCACACAATCACGTTAATATTGAAAGTCTGATGCTTTCACAAAAATCCTGGAAAGGAATAGTCAATGAGTTCACCTCCAAGAATTCCACAGTTAAGGAGTTATAAGAAACTAGTGAAAGAATGTTACTTACTTGATGAATGAGTAGAAATGGTTTCAATTGCATAAAACACTTCACTAGGCCATAGAATGTTTTTGTAAGACTAAAAAGAAATTTCATAAATGTCAGAGAAATAAACATCCATTGAGTATTTTAATCTTTTTTCCTATTAATTACTTTAAAAATTATTTTCCAAATTATAAAAATAGCATAATCACATTAAATAACCTTTGCAAAATAAAAGGAGCAAACAAACCCCTTTATAACATCCCCAGCACAACTACTAGCCTCACTTTATCTTCACTGACATCCACTTTCTTTTAAAAATGGTAGTAATCATTCAGCACCTACACTTCTTTTTTTTAAATTTTTTAAAAATATATTTTATTGATTTTTCACAGAGAAGAAGAGAGAGGGATAGAGAGTTAGAAACATCGATGAGAGAGAAACATCGACCAGCTGCCTCTTGCACACCTCTTACTGGGGATGTGCCCACAACCAAGGTACATGCCCTTGGCTGGAATGGAACCTGGGACCTTTCAGTCCACAGGCAGACGCTCTATTCACTGAGCCAAACCGGTTAGGGCAACACCTACACTTCTGTATATTGATTTTTTACTTAATACATATACAACATTTGCTATTGTTACTTAGTCTTCATAACTATTATTTTAAAAGATAGCTTAAATTGCTATTGAGTAGGTATACTATAACAAGAATTATCTTGTCAGAAATATTCAGACTACCTTCTATTTTTTAAGGAATTTTAGATGTCATATTATAAAAATTCCTTTATTTAACATTAAAGAAATTGAGACCTGTAGACTAGACTTTCTTAATCTCAGTATTATTGTCATTTTGGGGTGAGTGATTCTTTGTTTTGGGGTGCTGTCTTGTGCATTGCAGAATGTTTAGCAGTATCTCTTGGTTTCTACCCCACCTGACGCCAGTAGCTTCCCTTTCACAACCAAAAATGTTTCCAGACATTGCCAATCGTCACCTGGCAGGCAAAATAGCCCCTTGTAATAAGCACTGGCATAAAAAACTAAGTTCAAATTCAATCATGGGAGGGAAAATCCAGTATTAAAATCCATACTTGGCCATTTTTATCCCACCTTTGATGGTCTTACTTCTCCATTTCCATGGAAAATTTTGAACCCATGGTGGTAAGTTAGTTGCTTCATATCCTGCTATTACATTTACATTCCTGGTAGGAAGAAGGGAGAGTATCAAATAATGAGTCAAGAACTCTCCTCTTAAAGAGGGTGTCATTTTGTTGTGGAGGGATGCCCTCCCCAGTGACTCTTCTTACATATTATTGGTCAAAAGTGTGTCACACGGCCAGCTCTAATCATGAAAAAAAAAAGCTAGGAGTTCAAATTCTTAGCTTTGACATCCTTGATAATAGAGTCAGGAAGAAGGGCTTTGTGAATGGTTTCTAGCCTAATCAAAATATTTGCTAGATTCTTCGGATATATTCCTAGAAGTGGGATCACTGGGTTCATAGTAGCACAATTCACCATAGCTAAGATTTGGAAACAGCCTAAGTGCCTATCAGCAGATGAGTGGATTAAAAACTGTGGTACATCTACACAATGGAATACTACACTGTGGTAAAAAAAGAAGGAATTCTTAGCATGCATATAAGCCTAACCAATGGGCACAGAATCCAGGGGGGTGAGGGCATGGTGGGAGGGTGGGGGGCAATGGGGAGGAAGGACACATATGTAATACCTTAATCAATAAAGAAATTTTTTTAAAAGTAATTAAAAAAAGAAATGTAACTGTCATCCATAAAGCGTTGATTTCAAATGAAAAATAAAACTATTTGCTAGATTCCCATGCTAGTTCAGCCACTTCCCTGTGGCAGATGGGATTTTGGAGTTTGGAAGCTGCTAAAAATGTTCAGTCACATATATGTGAAGTCTTAGTGTGCTGTGATTTATTATCCAGAAAGTGCTTCATGAAATCCTTTTCATCTGATTGATTTCGTGACTTCTCTATTCTGTTTCTTTGAATCGGGAAAGTGTATTCATGTACAAGTAACATCATTGAAAAGATCCAATTAATTTCAGCTGGAAAGGTCACTGCTTCAAACCAGCAGTGCTTTTAGTTATAATAGATATGCCTATCAGGTCCTATCATCTGCAGACCAATATTTAGAAATCTCATATTGGTTTCATTTCCCATCCAATAGTCAGCAGTGACCCAAAGTGCTAGGTGCCAGCTGCATCTGAAGATGAAGAGGACATGGACACATCAGACATACAATAGGGACACAATACAAAGCAGCACAATTCACTAACTAATACATTGAACAGCTTGTTTCCTTATCTGCCAAGTAACAGAAATTTTGTTTAATTATGTAGTTTTCCATTTCCATTCAAAGAGACATGCTCCTACTCAAGTGTTTGGGTTGGATTATATCTCCCAAAAAGATACATTGATGTCCCAGCCCTGGGGACCTGTGACCTTATTTTAAAAATACTGTGATGTCGCCCAGCCAGTGTGGCTCAGTGGTTGAGTGTTGACCTATGAACCAAGATGGTTCGATTCCTGGTCAGGGCACATGCCCGTGTTGCAGACTAAGTCCCCAGTAAGAGGCATGCAGGAGATAGCCCATCAATGATTCTCTCGCATCATCATCGATGTCTCTATCTCTTTCTTCCTCTGACTCCCTCTCTGAAATCAATAAGAATATATTTAAAATAAAATAAAATTAAATACTGTAGTATCTTGGCCGTTGTAATCAAGTGAAGATGAGGTCATTAGTGTGGACTCTAAGCCATTATGGCTGGTGTCCTTATAAGAGACGAAAAGACAGAGAGACATCCAAGGAGAACACCATGTGACTACCCAGGCAGGGACTGGCCTGAAAACAATAAGCCAAGAAACACTAAGGATTATCAGCAGCACCAGAAGCTAAGAGAACAGCATGGAATAGATTCTTTGCCAGAGCCTTCAGAGAGGGCATGGCTTTGCCAATACCTTGATTACAGTCTTCTAACCTCCAGAACTTTATCTGTTGTTTAGAGCTACCCAGTTTGTGGTACTTTATTATGCAGCCCTGGGCATCCAATACATTAAGCATGGAAAAACAGTAACTACTTGCTGATTGAAAAATCAGAAGTACCTTCTATTAGGCTCTTCAAAAGATAACTTTAGCCTTAGTTGGTTTGGCTCAGAGGATAGAGCGTTGGCCTGAGGACTGAAGAATCCCAAGTTCGATTTGGGTCAAGGGCACATGCCTGAGTTGTGGGCTCGATCCCCAGTTGTGGGTGTGGGGTGTACAGGAGGCAGCTGATCAATGATTCTTTGTCATCATTGATGTTTCTCCCTCTACCTCTCCCTTCCTCTCTGAAATCAATAAAAATATATTTTTTTAAAAAGACAACTTTAGACAAGTCCTCTATTCTTTTTTTTTGAAGTACTCTATTCTTCATATACATTCTCTTTCCTTCTGAGTGGCCAGTTTGCCAGTGTTGATTTCCTTGCCTTTGCTTTTATCAAATGACAAGATCCTTTCCAAATTGAACCCTTCAGGAGGAAGGACAGATGGGATTCTGAGCTCAAAATCAAGGTAAAGGTGGCCCTAGGAGACAGAGAACTTTTCTCTCTTTATGTGATTTGGAGCATTGGGATGCCTAAGAGAGAAAGATTTCACCTAAAAGTTAAACAGAATGGAACCTCAGAATGGACTGTGTCATAGTTGGGTATCTGCATTAGTTGGGGTCTTCTGAGAAGAAGACATCAAGCTAAGATTATACATGCAAGAAATGTATCAGGGGAAATGCTGGAGAAGGATAAGGAGAAGGCCCTGCAGAAGGCAAGGGAAGGATGCAGACTACTGTGTTGACTTGACTCCCGTGAAGAAAACAGTGAAGGACAGCAATTTGGAAGGGAAGAGTCTCAGGCTTCAGCATGGTTCCAAGGAATGTTCAGCCAGGTCAGTGGGAAACCTGCACCAAAATCGTCCATCAGAAGAGTCCCACATCCCAGGAATGGGCTTGTGCTAACAAGTACCTTCACCACGCTCAATCATTGGCCAGGAGCATTCACAGGAAGTGTATAGCCTGAGACCCAATGTGGTGATGGATCTAGAAAGATGGCATATGGGCCACCAGTCAACTTTGCTTCCAGAAAAAGGCCATCTGAGCAGTGTATTTTCATGGCCATGATTGTTCAAAACCAGAACAAATTCTGGGTGCTGCCTGGAGTCTGTAAGGGGTCTCAAATATTTGAGTAATAAGACAACTTTAGTCTAATTCATTTGCTGGTCCCCAAAATGATGTTTCTTTGGCAATGGCTAGTCAGTGGCATTGTTCCTGTTTGTTGGCCTGGTGGTTCCAGGTTCCTGACCATGGCTCCCAGCTGACCTTCCCATAGCAGTTCTTGCCCTCAGCATCTCCCATTGACAAGGACTCTGTGGTGTCAGGTCTTTGCTGAGCCCCCGCGCTGCACCACAGAATCCCTATCTGTGGCAGTCCCTGACTGCAGTAGCTCCAGCTGTTGTCTTCTAGCTTCAGGAGTGGTTTGACCCTGATTTCTGGTGCCCACCACCATTCCTTTGCTCTCATGGTTCCTCTGCTCATTCAAATGCTGCCCCAACTTCAAAGTTAAGCTTAATTCTACTGAGTACTCCTTTTCTATAATTAAAAAACACATTGTATAACCTCTTCATCATTCAACCAATTAGTTTCTTATTTACTAACTTTTCATGTGGAGCCTATCTTATTTCTATACTAATGGACATGATAAAATCTTAAATGTATGAGCCATTAAAAGGAAATTTCTATAGGGTCAGAAAATTTTAGAAAAACACTAACACTGTTGA